GACACCAATGTATTTTATTTTCCAAGTTTCACTTGGTTGAAAGTTGTCAAAGAAACAGAAAATTCTTTGTTTTGGGGGGCAGTTGTGCCATTTTTCTCTTTCTGTTATTACCAGTCGATAATCACGGGAACTAACATTTTGCTGTATCTCTACTTTATTCTTAGCTCTTTATATATTACTAGAGGCCCAGCGCATAAAATTCGTGAGCAGGTATGGTCCCTAGGCATGGTCTGCCATCAGGGCCATCTTCCCTGGCTGCCCACAGCCGGCCCGGAAACCCACTGCCTCCCTTCACCATAGGGTGATCAGTGCCTGATGGCCAGGGGAAGGGACTGAGAGGTCGGCTGTTACTGTCCACTCACCAGCCCCGCCCCCGCCATGGGTCGCCCTCTGTGTGTGGGGTGACCGGTGGGGCGGGGGCCTTGGCCTGGCACCACTTGTATCCCCTGCCACCCACCCCTGGTTTCTCGTTTGTCATCAGGCGATCGGAGCCTGCCGGCCGGGGAAAGGAACCAAGAGGTGGTCAGTACGCCTCATAGTGACTTGTCCAGAAGTCATTCTGATCGTTCTGCCTTTAGGGTCAATTTGCATATTATCCTTTTATTATATAGGATTCTCTTATTTAGTCCAAATGATTATCCTGTAAATAGCCATCAATGTTCCAGAAGAGAGAATTAGGAGTTAGAGAGTCTGGTGACTAGTGGAGCAGATATTTAAACCCAAGATATTCCTGACTCCAAGACATGCTGTTTGTGCTGAGCTACCTGGAAGTGACCTTGGACATCATCTCGCCCAGTGGTTCCCAAACTTATTTGGCCTACTGCCCCCTTTCCAGAAAAAATATTACTCAGCGCCCCCGGGAAATTAATTTTTTAAAAATTTTAATAGCAATTAAACAGAAAGATATATGTATTAATGTTTCTACCTTTTTCGTAAAATATAGTAAAGAAAGGTGTAAATTAGAAACATTGAAGTTTGAAATTATGAAACTATTTATTGAACTCAGAATAGAAAGGTAATACAAAAAAAGTTAAAACAAATGCACCTGTGGCCATCACCGCCCCCCTGGATCGCTGCAGTGCCCACCAGGGGGCAGTAGCGCCCACTTTGGGAATCACTGATCTAGCCCAACTTCACCTTATATCTAAATAAATACATTATGTCTATGTTACTATTCATCAAAAGTGTATTACCTGCCAGAGGCTATGCTAAGCACTTTATATACATTATCTAACCTACTACATATATTAAGCCATAAGGAGATTAAGTCACTAGCTTAAAGTCACTGAGCTAGTTACTTCATGGTACAGTCTACAGGTAAACTTGAGATTGTCTGAATCCTGAGTCCATGGTTATACTACATCAGCTCGATGTTTATCTGCAACATGAAAAAACTAAATTTGACAAAGGTTAAGTGACATTCCCAAGATCATCAGCTCTTTGGTGGCAGAATGAAGTCTAGACTTTAGATTTGCTGCCTGCCAGTTGTGTGTTCCTTCTACTGTTCTGCAGTGGGCAACACTTGATCAGAAATGACATATGATAAAACCTAAACAAAATGGAGTTGGAGGACTTTATGGCACCTGATTCTGCTACACATCAGAGCTGAGCCATCTGCATGCTCATGAGTTGCTATGGAGTTTGCTCGTCTTTGGGAAATAAGGTATAGAAGTATCTTTCTGAGATATAGCTACTAAAAATATGCACATCCACCTATTATTTTCCTTTTTTATATCAGTGAACACTGAATATAGTAAATCAGAAAAGGGATTTCTGATAGTTCACTTTATAAATGGCTTTAAATTCTAGGTACAATTAAACTAAAGTTATTCAATGCATGAGGTGTTGTTTTTTTTTTAAATTTCTGTATTGTCAAGAGTAACATGTCAAAATATGGTGAAAATAGTTCTTTTCTGAGAAATGCTGGAAGCATCTCTAAGTTCAAGCAAGTTTCTTTCCAGTGCAGTGTGTATAATTAATCACCTTTCTCTGTTTCAAAATTGTCAGCCACAGAATGGAAACTTTAGCACTTACCAAAGGATCAAGTACTGAAATAAAAATAATCTGCCTTTTAGTTGTCACATGGCATCCATAAATCAAAGCCATTTTCTGGAAGAAAGTTGCTATTATCTTTACTGAATGTGCAGCCATGGCTGTTGACCTTTGATAAGTGGAACGTAGGGTGTGATTTGGGCATTTCTTCTTGGATTCCTGTAGGGCTTCCCAGATGCCTACAGAGCTTGCGAGGTATAGTGTATAGCATGATGGGAGGAAGACAAATATGAGGACCCTAGGAGGCCCTGTTCCTACCCTCACAGTTACTAATGGTGATGTCAGACCAAGTAGAGATTCTTAATCTCACGTTCCTCCTTCCTTCCTTCATGTTCTCTTTTGCACCCAGGCCTTGCTGTATTTTGACCCTGCAGTAGTGATGAAAAATAGGCACCCCATGCTTGATAAAGAATGATGCAGGCCAAAAAACTTTGCCTATCACATGTACTCAGTGCAGCTTGTCCCGCCACAGGGAGCATTCCAGTCCTACCCTTTCATGTAACACACATTGAAGTAAGTCATGAAAAAGAAAGATAGATGATAAAGACCCCAATGTCAATGCACAAGGAGTAGAAAAACTGTATGTCCAAGAAAATCCGAGGCACAGACACATCTTTTCTCCTTGCTAAGGGTGACGTAGTGGTTTGAAAGACTTGTTGTGCCTCATTGTTGTACCAAATGTGGATTTGTTCATTCATTTCACCTCCTGAAACTCAGTATCTTCACATGTAAGAGATGAAGACTGATACTAATTGGTTGGGCATAAATTAGTCGCTGCATAAATGCTGCCTGGTTCTGCTACCTTGCTTGTTATTCTGCTCCCTGTCCCTCTTAGTAAGAAAGGAGTGGGCACTCTGATTACATATGGATTGGCTATAAAATAAGATGGCACCTTTCAGCCATGCAGTAGATTTCACATCCCTGGAAACAGGGTCTCTTTCTGCCAGACTTCTTAGATAGAAGAAGAAATTGTTCTGAATTGTTTCAGGATATGTATACTCTTGGTGTGAGAAGCCAGTCTCATTACTTATCATCCCCATCCCCACCCCAGCTCCATTGTTACATGGTGCTACGCTAAAGGATTTGTGTCTGTTTTCTGAATTAAACTCTATCTATAGAAGAGAAGGATGTCATTTTAAGGAGAATATTGCTGGCTCTGGAGCTGTATAAAAAAACGTGCTCAGTAATCATTATAATAAGGGTCTTCTAGGATGGCTTTTGAATGGAGATAGCACTTACTGTATTTCAATTTTATTAGTTGATTAAAAAACACACCAATTTATTTGCAGCCATTTTATGTATATTATATGAAAGTGGATGAAAAGTTGCGGGAGAATTTTGGGGGCAGTGGAACGAGGTGACTTAGGGAGGCAGATAGGTGGATACGTTAACTGGGGGGTCGGGGGGAAGGACTGGGAACATCTCAGATTCCCAGAGAGCCAGTCTGCTCCACTCAGAGGGATGTTTAGATTTATGTAAACACTAGAGGCCCATTGCACGAAGAGATTCGTGCAATAGGCCTTGGAGAAGGCAAGCCTCAAGGCTTCTTTGCTCCAGCTGCAGCGGAGAAGCCAAGCCTCTTCAGTCTTCGGTTGTCTTCAGTCTTCAGTCTTCACTCCGCGCCTGCATATGCAAAATAACCCTGCATCTTTGTTGGGCTAATTTGCATACTCATCCTGATTGGCTGGTGGGTGTAGCGGAGCGACGACCAGTTTGCATGTTTCTATTTTATTAGTGTAGATAAGTCATGCTTCTACAAACAAATAATTATTGTTCAGTTGAAGAGGGAAATCTTCCTAGTACCATTTTCTTTAGTATACACATAAAGTTACAGGGATCCCCTAATTCTCCCTACTATATAAATTTATTTACCACTAAATATATTTATGTCTTTTAAAGCTGTAGAATATCTTGACTCATTTAAAAACTATTTTATCTTACAGTTTTTGTGGTTCAGATTTACCACCTTACATAAAGGGTCTCTGTCATATTTTTATATTTAAAAATCCTCTCTTGATAGAGTACCGTCTTACATTTACAAATGGACCTTTTTACAAATAAATGTGGGCTTCTCTAACTGAAGTTTGAAATGATGAAAAATATAGGAAACAGGCCAGTTTACCACTCTCTGAGGCATTGGTCCCAAATGATGCGATTAAGTTAGCATAATTTTGTAAGTCAGTGATGCTTTGTAGCTCATTTATCTTTGCTCTTGTTTTGCTAAAGGAAAATAATGGGTTGATTTCCAGAGATGTAACTCCAGGGAGATGTGGCCACAAAGGTTTAGCTATGATGTCCCTGCACATTCACTTCCTCTAAGATAAAGTAAATGGAAGCTCCTGTCTAAGTTGGCATTGGACAATGAATATGTAATAAGAATATTTTTGGAATTGATGTCTTAGAGACTGCAGGTTGGAGGGCAATCTACTTTGTGTGTCCCCTTTGCTCCCCTCTGCACTTAAAAGCTTTCCTCTAAGAAAATAGCCTTTGTGCATAAAATGTCACTGCTTATAAGAACCAGCTATGTGCAAGGTGAAATCAGGCTAAAACACTGAAGGTCACCACAAAGACTAAAACACCGTTTAAAGGGCTACATCACTTCTCCCCACTCGGCGGGATTGTATAATGTGATTTTATGTACAGAAGCTTCAGGTATTACTTTCCGAATGGGTCAGAATCATCTTCCGCCTTCTGTATTCAACCACCTGTCATTTTAGTCACTTTGTTCTTTGAGCAATTCAGCCGCTGGGGTAGGGAGGAATGACTAAATCGCACGCATGGTAAAATAAATGATGATACTTGTATTGGTAAGACTCTATTGTTCGTATCTGTTTGCTATGTTTGCATGGCCCTCGTAATACCATATCAGGTGGCCTAACTTCCCTAGTGACACCAACACAAGAAGAAAAATGCCATGCATTTTAACACCTGTATTTTTTTCCTACTAGGGCGTGTTGGAGAGCTTCCTGGGCACAGCTGTCTCTGGAGCCATCTTCTGCCTCTTCGCTGGTCAGCCCCTCACTATACTGAGCAGCACGGGGCCTGTTCTGGTTTTTGAGAGGCTTCTATTTAATTTCAGCAAGTATGTACAGACACATCTAATTGTACATTAGGACTGTGTAACTTAGAACATCCGTAGTCTAGATGGAGCACAGGATAGTAGTTCAGAAGACCAGAATATGGGAGTTGTAAGCCATGGAGGGTGAATGGCCCTGAGAGGTTAGGTATTCCAGTAGTCATTTTACATCTGATTCCATGAGGCCCATGCCTCCCCCATTATTGCCCCTTACCTTCCTGCTTGGGCTCCTTTGCCCTCTGACTTCCCGTTGGGTTTGGTGGAGTGTGGAGCACCCACAGGACAGGAATGAAGAGAGGTCAGGATATATGTCTGCCTCCCCCACCTCCCTGTCTCAGCTTAGCACCCTTGCCTGGCAGTGGCTGGTCCCTTGAGTGCAGCCCCTGTAGGGCGGCTCCTACACCCTGTTTGTAGCCCTCAGCAGGGTCTATTCCTTCCTTGGCCTTTTCAAACCAGGAGGTAGGAATGGCTTCCTGATGTTGCTGGTCCCTGTAAATAGCCCATTTATTAAGTTGTTCTCAAAACCCCATTTGAAAATGACTTCTACTTCTTGCCATGACCCTGACTGACACACCAGAGATAGGAAATGTCTTGTTCAAGGTCACATGGCTCATTCATGAAAGAGACTGGCTGCTCCAGTGGTCCTCTGCTCCTAACCTCCCCTACAGTGTTTTTAGCTACAGATATATTGTAGCACTCAGCTGAGTAATAACTAATATTTGTTGAGTGCTGACCATGTCCCAAGCATTATCTTATGTGCATTACATATACTCCCTTATTTAATTCTTGTAGCAGTCCTGTGAGGTAGGGCCATGTTCTGCTTGATCGATGAGAAAGCTGGCATGGAGTGGGTAAGTGGATTGCTGATGGTTACATCACCAGTCGTTGGCAGGGCTGGGATATGAGTCCCTGCTTTCTAACTCCATAGCATCCAGCTCTTACAGAATCACTAGACATACTAATGGGCATGATAATTATGATATTAATATTTTCTTTTAGAAATTGACCGATCCTTGTAAGAAGGAGAAAATCAAGTTAAGCAAATTATCCAAGTGGCCACATTAGCACACAAATGGGTTTGAAATAAAATTGGGTATTCCAGCCTCTTTCTAATGAACTTAATACCTTTAAGAGAGAATTGCCTTTACTGGCAGATCTCAACCCTGAAACAGATTGAAGAATTTCATAAAACTTGCTAGTACTCCTTGTTGGAATTTCTATATTATATTATTATACATTTTTAGTATTTTAATGTTAGAAATGTCATTACTTGTATTATACCTCATGGACTTAACAACTCATATAATATTGAAACTGTGTCCCATCAGAAATGATCACAAGATAGAGGAGGGGATGAGGACTTAAAACTAGCGGTTTGAAAACTGGGTTGAGAATATCAGCGAGGGTCTTCTGAGAATTTGAAGTTCTACATTTTAAATAATGTTGTGAGTTTTCTCTAGCTCATTATTACACATCCCTCCTCTATTATAATTCTCAGAAAGGCATTGGAAAGAATTCTGTTCATGTCAGTTTATAGAAAGAGTCAAACAGTTTTTATATGTTTAAGAAAACATTGTGTGAGACAAGAGAGCTTTTGTGGAAAGATTAAACAAGCATGTACTATAAACAGGAACAAACACGCACAACCTTTGCAGGAAGATTTATTGGATGCAATGTGATCAGAGCCTTAATCTACAGAAAATGTTTGTATCCCAGTTTACTTTAGATAATTGAAGGAGAGAGATTATTTCCTTTCACTAAGTAAGTTCCTTTCTCACTTTCCCTTCTGTTTCGTCATAATTGGTAAGATAAACATAGTTCCAAGTAATTTATTTGAAAACAGTTGTAAAGCAGCAAGAAACCTTGTAAGTCAGTGATGGATTTAAAGCGGGGTTTCTCAAATGTTTCTTGTTGTGGCAAACCTTATTTTATTTACAGTGCTGTATCCTTTACTTAAATATTATAATGACAGTGCTAATATTTTGTCTAGATGCAGAGTATTTTGTGTAGATGGATAATTCCCACAGTGTGTTTCATCAATTAGTAGTCCCATGGATACTCTATGAAAAAAAGCTTCTGTGATCCTAATAAGTCTGGGAAATGCTGTATATTATATCTCCCTCTTGGCAGTTCACTTTATACTTTAGCTTACTAAGGGATCTGAGAAATCCTTCAGCAAAGAAACTGTTCTACTCTGTCTCTCCCAGACTTTCCCCAACATATTTTATAATTTTTTGAGAAATTGTTAAATTCTTGTTTTGTAGGTTCAGTGGGCTCAAACAATAACTCTACATAATCCACATATTTTCTCTGACATGGGATACAGGTTTTAATGTTTGCCCTGAAAACTGGAGAATCATAAAAAAATGTGAACGATGTGTGCTGTCACCTTTTAAAATTAGTAACAGGATGAAGGAAAGAGCTCACAACTGTTTCCCAATTTCTGCTCTCTCTTTTGCATTATTTTTATACATTGTATCCCAATAATACAGAAATAGATGATTGGACAAGGCCCACCCACATTATGGAAAGAGAGATGGAAACATCTTTGAGAGAGAAACATCCATTGGCTGCCTCACACACGCCCCCTACTGGGGATCGAGCCCAAGACACAGGCATGTGCCCTGACCAGAAATCTAACCATGACCTCCTGGTTTATAGGTCAATGCTCAACCACTGAGCCATGCCGGCCAAGCAAGGAATTTATTTCTTTATGGTGGCATAATAATATCACTAGACCAAATCCTTAAACTTGATATTTTCTGGAAAACAAGAATGAGCTTTTATCTAGTGGCTCAATGCGATCTTGCAATGCTAGCAGTCTTTCTGCAGACATTCGGTAGTTGCATATTATTCGTTGTGGTCATTGGAGGCGGAGCCTAACCTTGGTTTCTCCTTTCCAGGGACCATGACTTTGACTACTTGGAGTTCCGCCTTTGGATTGGCCTGTGGTCAGCCCTCCTGTGCTTCATTTTGGTGGCCACCGATGCCAGCTTCCTGGTTCAGTACTTTACTCGCTTCACCGAAGAGGGCTTCTCTTCTCTGATTAGCTTCATCTTTATCTACGATGCTTTCAAGAAGATGATCAAGCTAGCCGATTACTACCCCATCAACTCTGACTTCAAAGTGGGCTACAATACTCTCTTTTCCTGTACCTGTATGCCGCCCGACCCAGGTGAGAACATCGCGGGCAGCATTTGTGCCTGCCTTGTGGTTGGAGGAAGGTGCGGGCTTGATGTGTGCAAGCTTTCAACATGGGAACGTGATCCTCGGGAAGGGGTTCATTTTATTTTCTCTGGGAGACCATCCTGCTGAATTTGAAGTGTCATTGCCTGACATGGTATCTTAGCCATCTGATTCAATCAGGGAATGGAATCAGGAGCTCTAGAATCTGACCATAACCAGCTCAATACTTTAAAATTAACTCAAACTGCATTAGTTGCAAGGAAACTGTGTGTGTGTGATTAGTAGTCTTATCTTATAGGTGAGGAAAGCAGGTACATACATGAACAGATACGAGAACCAGGCAAACCTAGACCTCTGAACATCTGTCCCATATTTCACTGCTCCTTTATTGCTACAGGAACCTCTTCCTTTAAGGAAACGCCAAATAGGTTGGTTTAAGCCTATAGAAGAAACAAAGGAGACACTAATCCACTTTGTATATCTGAAGCATAAAATTAAAAATAAATGCATACTGGAGTCACCTGGCAGTAAAGTAGAGCCTTAATGTTCATCTATGTTAGACAACATAAATAAGAAATGGAAAGGAAAAGAAGAAACAAAAGGAAAAAAGAAAAGAGGAATGTTCTGTTCTCAGAGAAGATTTATACTCTAGAGTCAGGAAAGACATAAAAGTAAAATTAACTTCTGGATAAGAAATATGATTCTATATATCTTAGTACTTTAATATCCATCTTTCCAAACCTGAGACCTTTTTCACAAAAAAGTGTTCAACTTGGTCTTTGAAAAATTTTCTTGCAGTAATTCATCATCATTTTATAATATAGAAAGGCGTTTGGAAAAAAGTATTCACTTAGAGAAAAGTTGCTTTACATCTGTCAGAGACAATTAAATGGTAATAGTGTTAGTGATCCCAAGTTATGCAATCAGCTACATGTTGATGCCCCTTAATGTGATATACAGCCCATGCTCTTTGGAGTATAGAACCAGAGTTACAGCAGTGTTCTGAGGGCTGTGCAAACATGTACATGAGTGTGGGGCACATTCAGAAAAGACCCTCTTAATATTTATAGGAAAACAAATATGGTTATATTATAGACTACAATGCAAATGCTTTTGAGTTTAAAGACTAAACGAAATGCTACGGTGCTGGAATTTTGATGCACGTGGCAGGCTGTGTCAGATTACTCCCAGGTGTTTGAGTTGTGTACCTTCATTCTTCTCTGTCACTTTGGGGAGAAGTCTTACAGGCCTGATATCATCTTGAGTGGTGAGAGAAAAGAGAACAGTATCTCTCTAAAAATGTGTCCATCAGCAACACTGATGAGAAGATAGGGCATTGTTGGGCTTTGCACTCATGGATTTTTGTTTTGTTTTGTTTAAGGAACATCAACACACATTAACACGTTAAGCGCCAAGCCTGTTTTGTCTTCCTTTCCGTTTAGCCCGTGATATCTGATTTCATCGATAGGCTGGCGGCCGGAGACTGACAAGGTCCAAACAGAAAATATAGTGTCAGTCACCGGTGACTGACATGGTGCTTAACGTGTTAAGAGAAAACCCAGGCTTAAAAGCAAAGCAGAGAGAGTATAAAGTGGAAATATGAAAATTCAGGAGAACATGAATCACATGTAATTATGAAGGCCTATTATTGTTAAGATGTATACTGACTGAAATATTGTTAAGATGTATACTGACTGGAAATATTTTATAACTTAAAAAGTATTTAGAAAGAATAGGTACTCAATACATGATGGATATTAGAATCAATTAAATATGCTTCCTAGAGACACACAGATGTTACCATTACACAACTGTGTAGAGCTCTTCCCAGGAGAGAAGTGGGTAAAACTCCCAGTCATCACCCATCCTGGACTTTCAGGGGAAGTCCGGACTGTACATGTTCAAAATATTGGATCGCAGACATACAGCAGGTACTCAAATAAAATCATTTTGTTCAATGTCATTTTGTTATAAATTAATGAGATGCTGTAGGAGCTTAACTCCTGTTTATATCAGTTAGCCTACAGTAAAATTGGTTTTGTTATACATAATTTTGCCTAAAGTCACAACCTATCAACAATGTTAAGTGAGGATGTACTGTATTTAATTGTGGGATTTCAAACTCTACTTTTCATTTTGTATTTCTCTCTATCTGTCTGTATATATTTATGGAAGAGTCTATGAGCTGACTTCTTAGGCAAGTCTGAATAATCATACACCAAGATTTTCTAAAGGGCAAGCATACCACCCAGCAGTCCTGTGGTGAGAGGTGTTCATAAGGACAGATGAGGGCTTTGTCAGCACATCTGTCACAAGGAGAGCTCTGCCTGTTGTCAGCCCGGTGCCCACCTGAGGGGAATGGAAACTTGCACCCATTGTTTTAATTGGATGCTGGCAGAAAAGGTAACATGAAACCCAGGAAGGCAGACCTGAATGTGTTTTTATTATGAAAGACACAAAAAGGTTTTACATGTAATTCTCCTTCCAAGAAGGATCTTTGTTTTCTTGAAATAGTGATATTGAGGCTTAGACTGATCTGACCTTTGGCATGGCAAGTGCTGGCTGAAGTGGTGATGGCTCTTCCTTTGATCTGTGTCTCCCAGGTTGTGTACAAGTCAGTCCTAAATAGCTAGACAGTCCTCCTACCTCTGGTGGTACCAGCAAAGCAGGGCTGCAGGGCTTCAGAGTCAGAAAATCACACATCCCAGTCCCAGCTCGGTAATGCCCAGTGTGTGACTTTGGGGAAAGCTCATGCTCCTGAGGTAGCTTACTTGCCAGGTCACCTGACAAGTGGGGTTAAAAATAGAACCTACCTTATAGAATTGTTTTGAGGGGGGAAAGGAGACATTATAGAGAAGGTACTTAGGACAGTTTCTAATATGTGATAAATAATTAAATGTTAACTGCCATTATTGTTGCTGTTATTCATTAAAATTTAAGGCTCATGAGTAGCCTTTAAGTAGGGTGATATAGAACAGCTGTTCTCAACCTGTGGGTCACAACCCTTTTGGCGGTCGAACGACCCTTTCACAGGGGTCACCTAAGACCATCCTGCATATCAGATATTTACATTACGATTCCTAACAGTAGCAACATTACAGTTATGAAGTAGCAACAAAAATAATTTTATGGTTGGGTCACAACATGAGGAACTGTATTTAAAGGGCCAGAAGGTTGAGAACCACTGATATAGAACAAAGAAATCAGTTTTCCTCATTCTCCCTCTGAGCAAACATTCTTGGGCAGTTGGCCCATTCTACAATAGGACTGTTGGTGGCACTCTGTATTTTTAGAGTCATTAGATGAGTGGCACTCATGGCAGACGTGCTCATGAATGCGAGGATTGCATAAACCTATGGAGATGGAATATTTTCTGGTTTGGAAAAAAAGCAAATGGCTCTTTGCATTTTCGTGACAGTCCATGCTTTACAAAACCCCTTAAGATTAATGATAGTGTATTTCTCCAAAAGTCTTAATATGTATTTATAGCAAATTGCAAAAATCCACCATAAATTTAGTACTTCATGATAGCAAACTGAAAAACGATAGCAAGAGAATAATGCAGTTTCACGTACAGCTAGAGTAAGTATTCTAAAAACAACAAAAGACTGGTCTTTCATCGCAACATGCCCTCCTACTAAAAGAATTCAATCAATGAGTCAATAATATTTAAACTGGCGGGTGACTTGTTTTCCAACATGGGGGCAATATGTAACAGTGAACCAAGAGCTGCACAGATGTAGCCGTGATCCTGCAAACTGAGAAATGATTTTAAAGGAGGAAAATAGGAGTCATTTAATCACTACGAAAACTCTACTCATGGCCACAATAATAATGTGAGTTTGTGTGTGATCTTTCTTGTTCTCACTTGGCTTCCCTAAAACTTCATCACTTTCTGACTTTCCTTTTCTTTTTAAAATTTATTTCTTAAAGTCTCTATAATAATAAAAGCATAATATGCTAATTAGACTGGACATCCTTCTGGATGAAGCCAGGACTGCAAGGGAAGCCCGGGTCCTGGGTGCCAGAGGGAAGCTGGTGCCGGCAGCCGGGGAAGAAAGGCCTATTCTTGCACGAATTTCGTGCATCAGGCCTCTAGTAGTTAGTATACAATCTTATGTTGGCTATATTATGTTTCAAGTGTATCATATAGTGATTCTGCTTCTTTATGCCTTACAATGTGACCACATCACTAATTCTAGTAATCATGTGTCACCTTGTAAACTTACCACAATATTATTCACTATATTCCCCTTTCCCTTTGACTATAGTCACCCGTCCCCCATCCCTCCCTCTGGTAATCATCCCTTTGGTCTCTGTTATTATGCATCTATTTTTGTTTTGTTTGTTGTTTTTAGATTCCACATGTAGGTGAAACCACACATATTTGTCTTTCTCTGCCTGACTTATTTCACTTAGCATAATACCCTCTAGATCTATCTGAGTTTCCTTTTCTTAATGTACCCTTTTCTCCCTTCCTGTGACCCCATCCATTGCTCAGTAACCCAGGTTGTTTACCCAGGTTCTCATTTACAGAAGAACTAAGGAAGCTCAGTTGCAAGTACTAAAAGGAAAATTGGCCGTGAAGTTTGACCTATCAGTCAGGTGGATGGTTTTTGTATTAAAATTTCCTTTTCTCAGACATGGGATAGCTATTAGTTAATATAGAGGCAATAGGTGTTCTGTTACCCACTTTTTCCTGATAGTTAACATAGCAGAGGTGTATGAGAAAGAAGCCTATTTAGTTCAAAAGCCAAAAGTGAAAACTGAAAGTATCTAATTGTAGGGCAAGTCACAATATCTTATTTCATCACCAACATCCCAATTTAGAAAATCGCTACTGTAAAAAAGTGTAAACAATATGTGCTTTGGTGTAAAAGAAACTGAGTTTGAATTTAAGCTCTGATGAGCAGTTTGACTTTGGGCTATGCCAATTACCTAATCTCTTTGTTTGATAATCTGTGAGCTGGGTTAGTAATTGTACTTTCT